CTGCCCTTAGTTTGATTATTTCCAGCCGTCTGCTCCTCTTGGGTGTATCTGCTTCTTTTTTTTCTAGGTTTTTCAGTTGGGCCATTAAGTTGTTTGTATGTGATGTTACGGATTTCTTCTTGTAGGCACTTAGTGCTATAAATTTTCCTCTGAGCACTGCTTTCAATGTGTCCCATAAATTTGGGTATGTTGTGCCTTCATTTTCATTGAATTCTAGAAAGTCTTTAATTTCTTTCTTTATTTCTTCCTTGACCCAGCTGTCATTGAGTAGTAAGTTGTTCAGTTTCCATGTGCGTGTCGGCTTTTTGTTGTTTCTGTTGTTGTTGATGTCCAGCTTTAGTCCATGGTGGTCAGATAGTATACAAGGGATTATTTCAATCCTTTTGTATCTGTTGAGGCTTGCTTTGTGACCAACTATATGGTCTATTTTGGAGAAGGTTCCATGTGGTGCTGAAAAGAAGGTGTACTCTTTTGAGTTTGGGTGAAAAGATCTGTAGACATCTATTAGGTCCATTTGATTTAGGGATTCTGTGAGTGCTTTTATTTCCCTATTTGGTGTCTGTCTGGTTGATCTGTCCCTTGATGAGAGTGGGGTGTTGAAGTCTCCTACTATTAAGGTATTAGGATCAATGTATGATTTAAGCTTTAATATTGTTTCATTTACGAATGTAGGTGCTCTTGTATTTGGGGCATAGATATTCAAAATTGTGATGTCCTCTTGTTGGATTTTTCCTTTGATGAGAATATAGTGGCCCTCCTTATCTTTTTTGATTAACTTGGGTTGAAAGTCTATTTTATTAGATATTAGGATGGCTACTCCAGCTTGTTTTCTGGAACCATTTGCTTGAAAAACATTTTTCCAGCCCTTTACTCTGAGGTAGTGTTTATCTTTGTTGCATAGGTGTGTTTCTTGGATGCAACAGAATGTTGGGTCCTGTTTCCGTAACCATTCTGTTAGCCTGTGTCTTTTTATTGGTGAGTTGAGTCCATTAATATTGATAGATAGTATTGACCAATGCATGTTAGTTCCTTTTGTAATGGAGTCGATGATCTTACCTTGTTTCATTGCTTGTTTTCTTTTCATTTTTGTTGGGATGTTATCTGTATGCCCTGTTTTCTTGGGTGAATTCGTTTTCGTTGGATTGGAGTTTTCCTTCTAGTATCTTCTGTAGGGTTGGTTTGCTGTATAGATATTGCGTAAATTTAGTTTTGTCATGGAATATTTTGTTTTCTCCATCTATGTTGATTGAAAGCTTTGCAGGGTATAGTAGTCTCGGTTGACATTTGTGATCTCTTAGAGTCTCCATGATGCTTGCCCAGGCCCTTCTGGCTTTCATAGTTTCTGATGAGAAGTCTGGTGTGATTCTGATAGGTCTACCTTCATATGTTACTTGGCCTTTTTCCCTTGCTGCTTTTAATATCTTTTCTTTGTTCTGTAGATTTAGTGTTTTGACTATGATGTGACGTGATGTGTTTCTTTTCTGGTCTAGTCTATTTGGTGTTCTGTAGGCCTCTTGTATATTTATGGACATCTCTTTCTTTAAGTTGGGAAAATTTTCTTCTATGATTTTTTTGAAAATATTTTCTGGACCTTGGAGCCTGGAGTCTTCTTTTTCATCAATTCCTATTATTCTTAGATTTTGTCTTTTCATAGCATCCTTGATTTCTTGGATATTTTGTGATTGGAATTTTTCTGATTTTACTTTTTCTTTGAGAGAAGTATCAATTTCTGCAAGTGTGTCTTCAGCTCCAGAGATTCTCTCTTCCATCTCTTGTATTCTGTTGGTGATGCTTACTTTTGTGGTTCCTGATCTTTTCTCCAAGTTCTCCAGCTCAAGAGTTTTCTCATTTTGTGTTTTCTTTATTGATTCTAATTCTGTTTTCATGCCTTGCACCATTTCTTTTATGTGTTTGAATTTGGATTCCTGTCTCTCTACGATGGACTCTATTTCCTTGTTCATTTCCTTTTTGTATGCCACTAATTTTTTCTCTACTTGTGCCTCTATTTGTTTGGCTATGTTTGCCTGTGTTTCTTTAAGGGTTTTGTCTATTTCTTCTTTCTTTACCTCCAATTGACTGGCCAATTCTTTGAAAGATTTGTTCATTTCCTCCTTATAAGCCTCAAATAATTGAGCAAGCATGGCTTTAAGGTCATTTTCCTGTGCTTCTGATGAATTGGAGTATCCATCGGTTTTGGGGTTTGCTGGTGAAGTCATGATGTCCTGATTTATGTTGGAAGTGTTCTTTCGCCTACCCCTGGCCATTGGCTTGTCTGAGACCTTCCCTGTTTGTTTTTGGATTCTGCCAATCAGACTGGTACTGTCTCTCTCTCGAGTCTGGAGAATTCTTCAGGAAGTTGAGAGAGGTCCCGTGTCCTTAGCGTATGCTGAGGACTAGCTGTACCTGTGGGAGGAAAGTACGCAGGCGCAAACAGAGGCAAATGCAAGCGTGCGTGCGTGTGTGTGTATATGTGTGTGTGTGTGTAAGTGGGTGTGGGCGTGTGTCTCGAGGGACAGAGTGATGGCTAATGTTGAACCCTTGAGTGTGTGGGAGGGGCTCTGCAATGTATTTGTCGCAGGCGCTAGTGATGATCGCAGCGCAATTTCTGGCATTAACTGCCTTAACTCCTCAATTAGACCCACAGAGCAGGAACTTCAATGTTCCAAGTGCCCCTCTGTTTCCCAAAGTGGGTATATGGGTGGGAGGGGGTTCGATGCCTGGCTTCTGTTTTAGCAGAACCCAGGATCAGTGGAGCTGCAGATTCTCAAGGGTGCACTCACTTACAGGCAGGACACTTGGCAGAGATTGGCGTATCTGGACTCTCTGTTCTCTGGTTTGGCCCTGCTTCTTTGATGTGCTCTGCCAGTTCCGTGCTGCTGTCACTGCCAGGTTATGAGGTCTTGCTGCAGCTGGAGATTTCAGGGTGGTCACGTCAGTGGGAATCGGGGTAACCAGCCTTTCTGTTCTCTGGTTTGGCCCTGGTTAGTCTTAAACTGGAGGGCTGATGTGCCCAGCCAGCTCAGTGCTGCTCCGCCGCCAGGTTAGAAAGTCCCGCTGTAACTGGAGACTGGGTTGCTAGTCCAGATGCTTTCTGGGAAGTCCTGGGGTCTCTTTACTGTGCTCTCCAAGCTTCGGAGGCCCAGCGCCTGGTGTGTCTAGCTTGTATGGCGTTTTTGTCTGGTTTTGGTGAGTATATAGCGTATTCTCTGTCACTGTGGGATTGGGCGGGCCGTACCGTCAGTGATGGCGCTCGTGCGGAGCTAGTATGGCGTCTAGCAGACTCGGGCCCTGGGAGGATGGTGCAGCCGCCGCGAGTGAATCTGGGGCTCCGAGACACAGTACTGCTGGCCTTTGCCGATAAAGGGCTTGGGGCTCCGCCTCAGTGGCTGTAGGCCCCAGGCAGTTAGGTCTGCGCTGAGAAAGGCGAGTCGGCTGTGCCTGTGCCGAGGAGGAGGGAGGTCTGGGGGAGGGGAGTGCCGAGAGATCAAAGGATCGTTTCTCACCTTCCCCAATCAAGTCCGTGGGTGACCCGAGACCAAGGTTTTCACCTCCTGCGATGTTCCCTGTTGTTTAGAAAGTCTCTCCGTTGTTTCCCTGGCTTCAGAAGTTCTTCCACACATCAGCTCAGAACTTTATCTCTTCCACAGCTCGGAAACTGTGTGTGCTAGTCGCCATCTTGGCTCCGCCCCCACACAGTAAGTTTATAAATACGACACTCAGATTTGACATTTTCCCAAATAGAATGACTCTCTCCAAGATCAATGGGACAAACCATTAACAAATCATCCACAGGCTGGTCTTGCTTGATTGGACACAGAGATACCTGCCCAGCTATGGAGCCTTTAGTCAGCCATGCCTGTTCAATATAAACACATTTCTTATCCATTCTCCAACTCTTTACTTTTCCTTGAAATTTATACCTTTTTCTACCAAATGAGGCAGAAAGGAAGAGGACGCTGTCCTGAGAGTATTTGCATTGTAGAGACAAATAGATCATTTCAGGCCCTGAAGTTCCACTACCAGTTCTCTTAGTGGCTCAGAGAAACATTTTGCTTCTCAAATCCTGAGTTTGTATATCTGAGATATGAGTCTTATAGCTAATGTCCAACGAAACAGCAGAAATTTCCCGTGATTAAGTACCTACCCTGGCATCTAGGTGAATTGCTTATTAAGACAAAGCTATTTCCTATTGCATCACAAATTGGCTGTTTAAAAGCAAAACACTCACAGGACATGCCAATCTTAAAACACTATGAAGAATAGCACATAATACAAATGGAACATGAATCAATTGTAACTGTAGTTATAGGTTGAAAGAAATGTTCTTAATTTTTGTGGCCAAGAAAAATAAAATTAAAACAGACCAGAATCCTGAAACTAACTTGACAAGCATTTCTCTCTTTTTAAATTTTTTTTACAGTTTATTCATTTTATATCCCCACTGTAGCCCCCCTCCCTCATCTCCTCCCAGACCCATCCTCTCTCCCTCTTCCCCCTTACCCCCTTTGCTTATTCCATTGAAAGAGGAATTCTCCTCCTCTGCCATCTGCCCACAGCTTTTCAAGTCTCATCAGGACTGCCTGGATCCTCTTCTTCTGTAGCCTGGCAAGGCCACATCAGCAGGGGGAAGTGAGCAAAGAGCAAGCAACCGAGTTCATGACAGAGGCAGCCCCTGCTCCCCTTACTCTGAGTCAGGTAACCCAGAAGCAGAAAGACACACATGGTATATACTCACTTACAAGGGGATAGTAGCAGTATAATATAGGATAAATGTACTAAAACACACAGACCTAAAGAAGCTAAGCAACACGAAGGGCCCTAGGGAGGATGCTTAGATCTCGTTCAGAATGGCAAACAGGATAGACACCAGGAGCATTGGAACAGAGGGAAGGGGATTGATGAGCATTTCTATGTGTCATCTGTGGACTGGATGTTTTTGAGTGGTAACTTGTCACAGGCACGTATAATGTAAAGAATATAAGAAAGGTAACCTAACTTACTCCACCAACTTTCTCAAAGTGGGATCCATCTTTCTTAAAGTCCGTAAGGGCTCCATTGAAATACCAGGCAAACATAATGTCCAACAGCGGGTCGTGTTGCACCTGGCAGGGTAAAATGACGCTCTCACCGACGGCAACATCCATGTTAGAAGGTGCCAAAATTATTCTTGTTGGTTCTATTGGGGAGACAGATTATTAAAAACAAAATTTTAATGGCGATGAAATCAGTTTTTATAGGCAAATTGTTCATCTTATTTAGAATGTATATACACAAGTGCGCCCATACACCAATGTGATTAAGAGTCTTCATGATTAAAGTAGTATCTTGAGGTAAAATTAAAATAAAAATTACTGCCCTCACAAATTTTTTTCTTGGAAGAACTAAGATGTATGAGTTTACAGAAGATGCGTGTTCAGAACTGAAACTCAATTGCATATGAGTTACACTACTCACAAAATCAATTCACCTTATTTTCATAGTTCTATGAAATATGATAGAAACTCCCATGTTGCCACCAACTTTTCAGTGAGTAGCAAATTTATTTATTCACACCCAAATGCAAATAAGCTCAAATGTTCTTTGCTGACAGACTTGGGAACCATACCAGGAGAGGAACACTATGCCAAGACACCACCTTACAGATGATTTTCTTCAATGCTAATATCCACCTATATGTGTTCTCTTATCAACATTTGATACCTTTTATTGACAATGAACTCAACTTCTCTTGACTCTTCCTTCCCAGTTTCCTGTAGCTTTTTACCCTGGGACAATAAAACTCATCAAAGAACTGTTTGTATATAGACTGTGAAATATCTTAGGATATTACCTCTCCAAAATGTCTAGTTAGGCTTTGGTTTCTCATCAGACCAGTCCCATCAGGGTCCCCAGAAAACACTGTTCTTCAATAACCAGTGGTAACATTTTTGTCTTTTATACATTGACCTCTCATCTGTCTTCCCTTTGCTTCTCTTGGTCTCTTTCATGTAATTTATTCTTATCTCTTCAAACTGTGTCAGTCACTCAGCTTTTCTTCCCCATGTTCCCTTATCATGCCTCTTTGCTTCTTAAATTACTTAATGTAAAATGTGGTAAGCTCTGTCATTATATATATAATTAACATATTAATTGTACAAATCAATGAGATTCATCTCTTGGCTTCAAGTACCAATCTTGCTATAACAACTGCTGAGTTAGTACCTCCTTCTTGATCTCTCTCTCTCCCAAGACTAAACTCACATACTCCATGACCTACTCAGTTTTTTAACTTTGTTGTTTCATTTGACTTCTTCTAAAGCACATAGTAGGATTCAATTCTGAACATGGAATTTAGTCATAGTCACATGGTTCGGCTGGTTAATCATAAGCAAGAGTTAGATGCAGGGTGCACAGACTGAAATTTGGAAGTACTAGTTTCCACTGTGCTAGTCTTCTTTCCTCTTCCATGGTGGTGGAGACACTGGAAACTTATTTCTGAATGAAGAGAGTGGAACTGTCTCACTACAGAGTAGCCATTCAAGTACATCAACCTGTGTTCTTGTAATCCACTGAGACTTTGTCAACATCTAGTCTGCTCCATGGAGGAAGCATATAATAAGCAACTGGTGTTCAACATGCCCAGACTGATGCCGTCCACTCTCCTTTCCAAAGCAGTTCAAATACAGTTCATGCCAATGCAGTTACTTTGACGGCCACTCATTCTTCTGTATAACCAAACAGCCTACAGATCCTTCCTTCCTTTCTTTCTCCTCCCTCTTTTCCCTCTCTTTCTTCCACCTCCTTCCTTTCTCTTCTTCTAGTGCTTGGGGGTTAAACCCGGAGCCTCAGACATCGTAAATAGTACTCTGTCAGTGAGCTTTGTCTCTCATCTTCATCATCAAGCCATTCTGGACTCTTTTCTCTTCATAAACCTCCCTCCAATTTGATGGCACTTCTTGCTTAGTATGTGAAGCAACTGATGGTAGCTCCTAGACTCCTACAGACCCAACCTTTTGGTTAGTACTGGTTACTGTCACCTCCTTCTCATGCCTCTGACCTCTTCATGCCTCTTGTCCTGGTCCTTTCATTATCTTCACAATAGCAGTGGTTTGAAAAATACATAGCCGTGCTGCTATTTTTCTACTGAAAACACTACTATCTTCTCTGTTACAATCAGACTGAAAACTGAGGACTTAACCATTCTCCAATATGTCTACATAACTGTCCATAAGAAGTCTGTTAACACTCTCTTTTTCCTGAAATCTGTGTCCCATGACTGATCCAGGCCAGCTGTGAGTATCCTATTTTGCTTCCAACTCTCCTTATTCCCTCACTCATCCTTTTTTCAGTTGTGTGCAATTTTACCTTTCTAATAATCTTAGTGTTTTTTTTTTTTCTCTTACTCTATGATCCTTCCTGTGGTAGCCTGTAAAGTTCACAGGGTGTTATCTTTGCTGATATTCTCATTGACATAACCCAAGCACCTGTCTCAAAATGTTCAACTATTTCTTGAAAGGATAAAAGAACAAAATATATCCCCAACTTTAAGCAAATCTCATTAACACCAAAGATTATTAGATGAATTTGAACTCCTCAAGAAAAGAAAAAAATTATAATGAAGCAGGAACAGTCAAAGCTCTAAATAATAGCATAAAGTAAAGATAATAATACAGTATTTGTATTTCTTATGGCCCAGTATGCCAGGAGAGTAGCTACTGTGTCCATCCATGTGTTCTATTGCTGTGACATGAAAATTTAGGCATCATACCCTTGCATGCAAACAAAAGTAGATTCTCACTTCACAGTGCCCTATGTAGAACGAGAAACATGTGTTCAATGTCTTCATTTTAAAATGAATATTGTTTGAGAACTCCAACTTTAATGTAATATATTTTGATCAAATCCATCCGCCCCACCTCTGCTCAACCTTCTCCTATACCTCTCCACCTATTTTCTTCCTCAGCTTCATGCACACTCTTTAAAACCACTGAGTCTGACTAATCTTACCAGTACTTGCGTAGGTGTTTATTCTCTCTAATGAAATACAGTTTACCCTCGAGTAAAGCAATCTCTAAGAAAAACACACACCTGTCACAACCAAATGTGTTGTGCCATTTGCTTTCCCAAACTGGTTTTCTGCTGTGCAGGTGTAGGTTCCAGCATCAGCCTTAGTCACATTCATAATTTTGAGTCCTCCATCACTTAAAAGAGAAATCCTAAAGGAAACAGAACAACAAATGTGCAAGTCACTTTTTGCATAGAAGTGATACATTTCTTTCAGAGCGCACTGCTTAAAGTAATAATTTAGGGCTAGACCACCAGTATATCTTATCTCTGAACTGAGAAAAGTAAAACACACACACACACACACACACACACACACACACACACACATACATACACATACAGAGAGAGAAAGTTAAAGAAGAAAACATAACTAACAATTTGAATTTCATGCTTATATTTATTTTTGGTTTAATGCATTAAACCAAATTTAATGCATATCTCACATTTAATTATATGAATGTTTTTATTTTTTATCTATTTTTTAAAGATTTATTTATTTATTATTTACACAGTGTTCTGCCATACACGCCAGAAGAGGGCACCAGATCCCAGTATAGATGGTTATGAGGTACCATGTGGTTATTGGGAATTGAACTCAGGACCTTTGAAAGAACAGCGAGTGTTCTTAACCTCTGAGCCATCTCTCCAACCTCATGAATATCTTTATTAAATAAGTGTAAAATATATATTTATATTGTGATCAGTTACTCATAGGTTAGCCTTATAAACTTAGGGAAAAGAGAAGGTAGATATGCTATGATTTCCTTTAAATTTAAAAATAGTATATGAAGAACAAGAACTTGCTTATTGTTTTTCTGCTTATCATTTATGAATTGGAATAGTCACTTTAAATCATCAAAAATAAAAATAAAGAAATATATATAAACATACACACATATACATAATATCACATACATATTATATACATATATATAATATGTGATATTATATATGTTATATATATAATATATATTATTATATATATGTATATGGTCATCTTTGAGCTACTGAAAAAAAATTCCAGTAGCTCAATAGGTGGGCCTCCTGGGTCCTGTGCTCCAATTTAAATACTTATTTTTTAATGAATTTAATTTTTTAAAATTTTATGTAAATTGGTGTTCTGACTGAACATATGACTGTGAGGGTGCTGGAACCGCCGGAACTGGAATTACAGACAGTTGTGAGCTGCTATGTCAGTGCTGGGAATTGAACTAGTGTCTTCTGGAAGAACAACCAGTGTTCTTAACCACTGAGACATCTCTCCAGCCCCTTGTATTCTTAAAGATGTAGCATATACCTATCTCATTAAGGAAACTGAAATGAGTGCCTTGCATGTGCTGGGATTACAGTGTGAACAAGACAATAACCTGGAGATTCCTTTAGAAATATTAATCTTGAGAGACACAGACAATAAAAGATTAAGTAAAAGTGAAAAGTACAGAGTTTGGGAAGCATTTTGAATAACAAGAGGGCGGCAAAAAGGCACAATTTCTTTAGGCAGACTTTCCAAGACAGGGCATTCATTAGCACTGAGAAGGAAGAATGTGACAGCATAATGCCTCATTTGTCTGATCCTGAAATCTTCACTGCACATGTCTACTCATAATTATAATCCCCTTTTCTGAATGCCTGAACCTTGCACTTCACACCTAAATGTCTTTTTATCCTTCGTGGTTCACATCTTTAAGCACGCCTGTTGAATCTGTACCAACAGGAAAAACCCTTTTCAAGCGTTTGCAGCCCAGTGTCAGCATGGTATCATCCAGAACAGTCAGTAAATGTCTATACCTTTGGGGTTATTCAGTAGAGCATGCAGGAGAAGTGGTGATGACATTAAAGGGTAAAATCTCAATCCAATCTTTAAATACTATTATACTCACTATATGAACATATTACATACACATGCATGAAATAATTATATACATATATATGAATAACATCACTTATTGGTATCCATTGGGGATTGCTTCTCAGATACCCCTGGTGGATCTCAAGTCTCATATAAGAATGTGTACAATTTATACAACCATTATACTTAATTTATGCTTAGACCACTTACACTTAATAAAATGTAACTAGGATAAGAATAACTATGTTCACTGCTTAGGAAATAAGAAGAAAATAGTTTGTACATATCCAGTACAGCTTTGGTCAGAGAAGCTTCTTATTGTGATGAGTAAACAAATAGAAACTCATCTGTCCAAAATATTGAGAATAAGAAACTGTGAATAGTCAGCTATAGCTGGAACATATACTAGGCCCATAACCCCTCCCCATGTTCTAGGCCCAGGAAACGAGGAAGAAAAAGAGAAATAAACAATATCAGAGCCATCTGATTAGGAGGAATGCTGTGAAATGTTGTCCTCTCTATATGACAGAGCTGCTGCACACACGAACTCCTAGAATCTCTGGTTACCATCACAAAATGTAGCCAGTTAAAAATTCTAGTCAGGCCACAGAGGAAGACAATGCAGTCAGTCCTGATGAGACCTGATAGGCTAGGGTTATATAGAAAGGGAGGAGGACCTCCCCTATCAGTGGACTTGGAGAGGGGCATGGGAGTAGATAAGTGAGGGAGGGGGGATTGGGAGGGGCTGAGGGAGGGGGCTACAGCTGGGATACAAAGTGAATAAACTGTAATAAATATAAAAAGTTATAATCAGGGTATAGTATGGATCTATTTTCATTTTTCTACATGTAGACATCCAGTTGGACCAGCACCATTTGTTGAAGATGCTATCTTTTTTTTCCATTGTATGGTTTTGGCATCTTTGTCAAAAATCAGGTGTCCATAAGTGTGTGGATTTATTTCTGGGTTTTCTGTTAGGTTCCATTGATCCACCATTCTGTTTCTATGCCAGTACCATGCAGTTTTTATAACTGTTGTTCTATAGTACAGCTTGAGATCAGGGATGGAGATACCTCCAGAAGATCTTTTATTGTAGAGGATTGTTTTAGCAATTCTCGGTTTCTTGTTGTTCCATACAAAGTTGAGAACTTTTCTTTCCAGGTCTGTAAAGAATTGTGTTGGCAATTTGATGGGAATTGCATTAAATCTGTAGATTGCTTTTGGTAAGATGGCCATTTTTACTATGTTAATCCTGCCAAGCCATGAGCATGGGAGATCTTCCCATCTTCTCATATCTTCTTCTAATTCTTTCTTCAGAGACTTGAAATTTTTTTCATACAAGTCTTTGACTTGCTTGGTTAGGGTTACACCAAGTTACTTTATGTCATTTGTGGCTATTTTGAAGGGTGTTGTTTCTCTAATTTCTTTCTCAGCCCTTTTGCCTTTTGTATACAGGAGGGCTACTGATTTTTTTGAGTTAATTTTGTATCCGGCCACTTTGCTGAAGGTGTTTATCAGCTGTAGGAGTTCCCTGGTAGAGTTTTTGGGGTCACTCATGTATACTATCATATCATCTGCAAATAGTGATAATTTGACTTCTTCCTTTCCAATCTGTATCCCCTTGATCTCCATCAACTGTCTTATTGCTCTAGCAAGGACTTCCAGCACTATGTTGAAGAGATATGGAGAGAGTGGGCAGTCTTGTCTTGTCCCTGATTTTAGTGGGATTTCTTTAAGTTTCTCTCCATTCAGTTTTATGTTGGCTATAGTCTTGCTGTATATCGCCTTTACTATGTTTAGATATGTGCCTTGTATCCCTGATATCTCCAATACTTTAAACATAAATGGATGTTGGGTTTTGTCAAATGCTTTTTCAGCATCTAGGAAGATTATCATGTGTGTTTTTTTTCTTTCAGTTTGTTAATATGGTGGATCACATTGATGGATTTCCGTATATTGAACCACCCCTGCATACCTGGGATGAAGCCTACTTGGTCATAGTGGATAATATCTTTGATGTGTTCTTGTGAAGTCCAAGTGGATCAAAGACCTCAACATAAAACCAGACACATTAAATCGGCTAGAAAAAAAGTGGGGAATACCCTAGAACTCATTGGTACAGGAGACAACTTCCTGAACAGAACACCAACAGCACAGACTCTAAGAGCAACAATCAATAAATGGGACCTCATGAAACTGAAAAGCTTCTGTAAAGCAAAGGACACCATCATCAAAACAAAGCAACTGCCTACAGATTGGGAAAGAATCATCACCAACCCTTTATCTGACAGAGGACTCATATCCAGTATATATAAAGAACTAAAGAAACTGAAAAGCAGCAAACCAAGTAATCCACTTTAAAAATGGGGAACAGTGCTAAACAGAGAATTCTCTGTAGGGGAATATCGAATGGCAGAGAAGCACCTAAAGAAATGCTCAACCTCATTTGCCATTAGGGAAATGCAAATCAAAACAACCCTGAAATTTCACCTTACGCCCATCAGAATGGCCAAGATGAAAAACACAAGGGACAACACATGCTGGAGAGATTGTGGAGAAAGGGGAACCCTTCTCTACTGCTGGTGGGAATGTAAACTGGTACAACCACTCTGGAAATCAATTTGGTGCTTTCTCAGACAACTAGGAATAGCGCTTCCTCAAGATCCAGCCATACCACTCCTAGGTATATATCCAAAGAGGCTCAAGTACACAAAAAGGACATTTGCTCAACCATGTTTGTAGCAGCTTTATTTGTAATAGCCAGAAGCTAGAAACAGCCCAGATGTCCCTCAACTGAAGAATGGATGCAGAAACTGTGGTACATCTATACAATGGAGTATTACTCAGCAATGAAAAATAAGGAAATCATGAAATTTTCAAGTAAATGGTGGGACCTGGAAAGGATCATCCTGAGTGAGTTGTCCCAGAATCAAAAAGACACACATGGTATATACTCACTCATATAAACATACAACATAGAATAAACCCACTAAAATCTGTACATCTAAACAAACTAAGCAAAAGAGAGGACCCTAACTAAAATGTTCAATCCCCATCCTGAAAGGCAAAGAGGATGGACATCAGAAAAGAAAACAGGAAACAACCTCGGAACCTGCTACAGAGGGCCTCTGAAAGCCAGAAGAAGAAAACAGGAAACAACCTAGGAACCTGCCACAGAGGGCCTCTGAAAGCCTCTGCTGTGCAGACTGTCAAAGCAGATGCTGAGCCTGATGGCCAACTGTCGGGTAGAGTGAATGGAATTTTAGGTAAGAAGTGGGAAATAGCAAGAGCTGGAGAGGA